CCCTAGATATGCCCCTTCCCCTGTTGTCCATGGCCACTGGCTAGGCCCATATGTATGCACACAAGTCCTTTGGTTGATCCCTTCCCCTTACCCCCATCCTCCCTTACTTTCCCTCTGAGGTTTGAGAGTCTGATCGCTGGTTCTCTTTCTCTGGGTCTGTTTGTGTTATTCATTATTTCCTCTAGAATGTGTGAGATCATGTGATCCAAGAAATACCCTTGTAAGAACCTAAACTGCAACAAGCCATCAAGGTACATGCTGTTGACTGGAATCGAACCTGGGACTTTTCAGTCCGTACGCAGATCAAGGCTCTATCCATTGGGCCAAACCGGTTAGGGCTGGGGTGTAATTCTTGCTGTTGAGCTCCGTGGGGGCAGTCTGAAGCGCTGCCAGCTGAGAGCACATGCTTGCTTTGCCCCTTCTCCTGCCCCTTCTGGTGCCCCCACCTCCTCCTCAGAGCTCCCTGTAGCCCAGGCTCTGCTTCTAGGGAACCCCGTCCTGATGGAACAGAGCCCATCACAGGAATAGGAACAGAGCCCACACAGTCCATTTATTGTGAGGGCGCTGCATACATCAGACCCACTGACGGTTCCTGTCCTGGGCTGCCTGCCCCGCCTCTGGGCCCATCTCCTCCCTCCCTCTGGGCCTGGCCTCAGCACCCGCCCCTGCTGGGGGGCATCTGAACGTGGCTGTTACCCGGCCACGTGCAGCTGTGATGGCTTTTGGGGCAGCATCGCACAGATGCAAAATCCTTTTTTTTTTTTTTTTTTTTAATATTTTATTGATTTTGTGCAGAGAGGAAGGGAGAGAGATATAGAGCTAGAAACATCGATGAGAGAGAGTCATGGATCAGCTGCCTCTTGCACACCCCCCAATGGGGATATGCCCGCAACCAAGGTACATGCCCTTGACCGGAATCGAACCCAGGTCCCTTTCAGTCCCCAAGCCGATGCTCTATCCATTGAGCCAAACCGGTTTCGGCAGATGCAATATCCTTCTTGCTTATTGAATCTCAGAATTCATTTTCGCACCGAAGACATCAAATAGACGCAGACGCTGCGAGGCGGCTCCGCGCTTATGAGCAAGTGGAGGAGACACATCGCACTGTTCATGCTGCGAAGTTATGTTCTGTTCCTTATCAGCCACATCCGGGGCCTCGAACGCGAGAGGGAGAGCGGAGACCTTTCTCCGGGAGGGGTGGGAAGTTCGGTCTGGCTTTGATTTGTGTCTGGAGGCGATAAACTTGGGGATGGGAAAGATAGCACGTCTCTGCCACCCCCATCGCCAGCGGATAGAGATGGTCCTTGAATGGGTTTTAATATCCTGTGCAGCTGACCTTTGACTCATGTGTCAGCATTATACCCACATGTCAGCCTTTGTAAACCACCTGCCCTGCCAAGCTCTCCAATACCTTCTGCAGAGGGAGGGCCCCCCAAAAGAGTCCCCGAGAAGCAGGGAAAGCAGAGCCCTGAGAGGCAGGCACCTGCTGGGGTGAACATTTGTGTAACATATGCATTTGAGCATTTCTTTTTAAATATATTTTTAAAAATTGATTTTAGAGAGTGAAAGAGAAATAGCAAGTGGCTACCTCCTGTGTCCCCTACTGGGGATCAGGCCTGCAACCCTGGGCGTGTGCCCTGACCGGGAATCAAACCGGTGATTTCCTGCATGGGATGATGCTCAACCAACTGAGCCACACTGGCCCGGGCACAGTTGAACATTTCTTGATAAACATTAGCCATGGTCACTTATGGGTGCTGGGATGTTGCTGATATTAACTCATTGATCTTATGAAGGGTATGTTCTCATTTTCTATGATGTAGCACTTGAATTATAAAAAAGCATTTTAAGAACAGTTAAGAACAGCGCAAGGGCGTTTTTAGCTATGTCACTAGCAACTCAGCTGTCTCAGGAGGCTTTCAGGTGGGCTCCTGCATGCATGTGTGCACTGGCTTCCGTGGCACACTTCTGTTCCTGCCTCAGAGGCAGCGACTGGCCTTCGGTAAAATCCACACTTGGAAGTTTGGCACTGCCGAGATGGTCAAACTGCCGGGAGGGCACAGCCCCCCCCCCCCCCCCCCGCCCAGCCTGTTGGCACCTGACTTTCCTCACCCACTGAGTGGTGCCAACTTAAGGTGACCAAAAGGACAGACTCTATCCTCACGATGTAGTCTCCTGCTTGGAACTCAAGTTCTCAAAAAGCAGGCAAAATCAGTATAATGGAGAACTAACCGATCCATCAGATTTATACATCTGTGAACGTACACACACACACACACACACACACACACACAACACCTGCACACAACCACTCTCCCATAGGCCCTGACAATTCTGAAAAATCTTCCTTTCGGAAGGTATATTTCGAATCCACCCTCAGACAGTATGCATTAGGGCCCACCCAATGAATGCATGCATATAAAAAGTCATATGAAGTGGCTGAGTGTCTCATTTAAAATTAATGCCCTCTGGCCTGGCTGGCATGGCTCAATGTTTGAGCGTCAACCTATGAGCCAGGACATCATGATTCAATTCCAGGTCAGAGCATGCCCGGGTGGTGGGCTCAATCCCCAGGGAAGGGCATGTAGGAGGCAGCTCGATCCCCAGGCAGAAGCATCATCATTGATGTTTCTCTCTCTCTCCCTCTCCCTTCCTCTCTGAAGTGAATAAAAACATATTAAAAGTAGATAAAATAAAATTAATGTCCTCTAGGCCCTTTGGGTTTGCAACTCATCGAATATGACATTGACAGGGGTAGGTCACAGGGGTGGCAGACCTTGAGTGGCTAGCTCTTAATTCTCCAAGGAAAGGAAGTGTCTGGTGTTGAAGAAATGCCAGCAGGGGCAGTACAAGACCCAGGTTTGGCCTCAGTTTTGCCTCTGCATGTGGCTGTGTGATATTAGGCAAAATGCTAAACCTCTCAGAGCTTCACTTTCCATCTTGGAGAAAAAGCAGGAAGAGTGACTGTGTGGGTATTGGACAGGGAATGCTTAATGTGGCTTCTAGACTTACAAATGCTCTGCTTATATTAAAAAATGGACCAAGATGCGGTTATTGATTTTTGTCCTGCTAGTTAGCACAGGGCTAAAAGAGGGCAGTGCACAATGCTCCGGGAATTGCAAGGCTAGGGGACTTGCGTGACATTGCACTTCTGCAATGTCTGCACCCTCTGGCTCACCTGCTCCTCTCCCACAGGCTGGCCTCTGCCAGAGATAGCCCTCGATCCCACAGAGCCCGAGGGGCAGCTGGAGTTGCAGGGCAATGAGCCAGCCTCTCCTTCAGATAGATCCCCATGAAAAAAAAGAACCCTGTTTCAGCCCTGGCTGGTGTGGCTCAGTGGATAGAGTGTTGGCCTGTGCACTGAAGGGTCCCAGGTTCGATTCCAGATTGTGGGCTCGATCCCCAATGGGGGACTTAGAGGAAGGCAGCTGATGGATGATTCTCTCTCATCATGGATGTTTCTATCCATCCCTTTCCTTTCCTTTCTGAAATCAATGATATACATATATATAAAGAATCCTGTTTCTTTGATGTAACAGCAATATCTCAAGACAAAAGGAGGCTACATGTGCTGAAGGTTCTCAGGTTTGAAACGCAACAGAATCCATAGGTGGGATTGTTAAAACTGCCTGCTAGGCTCCACCCCAGATCCTGGTTCAGTAGGTCCAGGGTGGGGCCCTTGCTTTGCATCTCGAACCAGTTCCCGGATGATGCTGAAGCCAGGGGCCATACTTTGAGGACGGAAGCTCTAAAACTGTGTCATTTATTCACTCCAATGTGGGGAGAGGGAGCAAGGTAAAGCAGCTGCTCAAGTGGTTTTTGTATGAAGTCACTTTAAGGACTTCTCATTTACTCTCTGAAAAGCAGGAAGAACCTGGAACCACTACTCAGCAGACATTGTAACATGGATGCTGTGAGTGAGGAAAGCTTTGCCATCGTTAACGATGTAGTCCTCAGTTTACCTTTAAAAAAAAATCTTCTTCATGCCAAAATAAGATCTCAGGTTTGAAGACCAGCTTTTGAAATGTGCTCATATGCTGAAGTTTACACCTAGAAAAAGGAAATCCACATGCTTTTGAAAAGGAGACATTTCTGTGAGACACCCGGCTCAGACAGAACACGGTATTACTTTTTCCATTTTTGGCACTTTGCTGGGTGGCTGTGCTGAGCTTGGAGCAGTGGGAAAAGCGATAGATCACATAAAACCGGGTATGCCACCATGGCAAACGTCAGTGAGCTGAGGGGTGGAGATGGGGGCAGTGTGGGGCCAGGCAAAACCACTGCCATCAGGGCTAGCAACCTGGGTCCCTCTCCCACCTCTCCCAGATGGTAAGGGAGACAGAACCAGCCCTGATTTAACTTTCTGAAGAGCCCCTCCCTCCACCTTTCAGGGGGACATCCTGTAAGCCAAATAAAGAAAAAGCTACATACGGAACTCTGGAAGAAAATGTCTGTATTAAAAGCCAAAAAAAACCCCCCACAGAAGTACAAGAAGAAACGCCCACCAGGACACATCACTGGGTAGATCAACTCGGAAAAGGTCCATAAAGTTCATTTCCAGCAGTAACAATAACAGATCAAGGTTCAGTCATTCCCATGCTCCTTCCCCCTTTGACATAAATTTAAAAAACAAACAAACAAACTTCATCTACTGTGTTCGGGTACAAAGAACTTCTCTCACTACCAGCAATAGCAATTGGATTTTTTTTTTTTTTTTTACTAAAACTTTCATTTAAAACAGTTATTCAAGATATAAAACAAATACACAGGATTTGGTCATTTTCTGCCACGGATATAGGGCACGTGGGTGTGCGGGGGAGGGAGGAGGCAGGGAGATGCAATAGAGGAGAAAGGGTCCCGTTCCTCTCCGCTCGGTCTTCCCAGCGGCGGACCCTTCCCCCGAAGAACTAACGGACACGACAGCACGAAGCACGGGGGCCGCGTCTCCCGGCGGGAAAGGCCCCCCGAGAGCGCGGCGGCCGGGAGCAGGCGCGGAGCGGTCACTTGGCCGCTGCCCCCGAGGTGACGGCCGCGGCGGCGGCGGCGGCGGCGGCGGCGGCGGCAGCGGCGGCGGCGGTGGTCCCCGCGGGCACGGCGGCGGGCGCGGCGGCGGCGGCACCGGCGGTGGCCGCGGTCCGGCGCTGCTCCATGCCGTTGGGCAGGAAGCCGGCGATGATGGGCACCGGCCAGATGAGGGCGGCCACGCTCCACACCACGATGACCAGGGTCATGAAGCAGGCCACCAGCGTGGACTCGATGGGCTTGCGGTTGAGTCTCCAGCCCGGCTCGCCCTGCAGCTCCTCCAGGTTGAAGTCCAGGCAGCAGAAGTGCAGCGACTCGCCCTGCAGCCACAGCGGCCCGGGGGGCTCGGCGGCGGGGTAGGCGGGCAGCGCGGTGGGCGCCCCGGCGGCGGCGGCGGCGGCGGGGGCCCGGGGGCGGCCGGGCTGGCGGCCCCGCACCCAGCCGCAGCCCACGCACAGGCGCAGGTCCTGCTGCGCGCCGCCCGCCGCCAGCCCCAGGTGCTCGATGAGCAGCGGCGGCCCGACGCGGTGGAAGGCGGCGGCGAAGAAGGCGCGGCCGGGCGCGTGGGTGGAGAAGAGCAGCAGGTCGCACAGGAAGCCGCGCGGGCGGCCCCAGCGCACGAGCAGCGAGCTCAGCATCTGCCGCTGCACGCTGATGTTGCAGGGCGCCGCCGCCTCCGGGCCCGCGCGCTCGGGGGCTCCGGGGGCCGCCGGGGCCGGCAGCCTCGGGGCGGCGGCGGGATCGCCCGCGGACGACGCGTTGGCGGAGGCGTTGGGGGGCGCCCCGAGGAGGCCCGGCGCGCCCGCGGCCCCGCCGCGAGCGGGCGGCAGCGGGCAGGCGGCGGCCAGCAGCGCGGCGAGGAGGGGCAGCATGGCCGGCGGCGGGCGCTCACACGCGCGGGGCCGGCGGCGGCGGCGGCTGCATGGCGAGCGGGAGCCCCGGAGGGAGGGCGAGCTGACGGCGGGGCCGCGGGGACCGGCGGCCGGACGGAGAGCGGGCGGCCGGGCACCTGCGGGGCCGCGGGGACGGGATCCTTCCCGGCTCCGGGTCCTACCCGGCGCGGCCGCTCCGGGCTTCCCCGCCGCCCCCCGCGCGGGGCGCTCGGACGGACGGACCTGCCGGCGGCTCTCCGGGGCCGGCGCCGGCTCGCGGGGAGCAGGATTCCCCGGTTTGGCTCCGCCCCCCGCGCGCCCCGCCCCGGCGCGCCCCGCCTCCGCCCGCGGGGCCGGGGGACCCGAGGGGGCGGGGTTCCGCGGGAGGGAGGGATGCGGGGTGCGCGCCGGAGCTCGGAGACCTGCTCGTGGGCCGGGCCGGCCGGGATGGGGGTTCGGCGGCTGGTCCGGGCGGGGTGCTGGCCGGGCCCCGGAGGTCTGCGCGCCAGAGGCTCAGCCTCGCTCCCCGGAGAGTCCGGCTCCGAGCCGAGAAGGCGCTCCGGGAGGGAGGATCGCGTCCTAGGAGGGAGGCGGGAGGGCCCGAGCTCGTTCCTTTGTCACGCCTGGGGGAACCTGGACCTCCCCCCCCCCTCCCCGATCGTTTTAAGAAGGGGAAACTGAGGCCGGGAGAAGGGGCATGACTTCCCCCAGGCCACCTCTCAAAGGAAACTCTGGGCCACTAGTTCTTCCTGCCCTCCGAAGGTGCCTCTGAAAACCTTACATCTGGAGAGTCTGGCTGGGTTTTCCTGTCTTCAGCACAATGGACCGCTTGGTGTGCTCGGCTGCCAGCGAGCCCCGAGGAAAAGACCAAGGATTCTCCGGAGTTTGGGTGGAAGCGGCTGGTGCTGATGGGCGGCTGGGGTGGGCGGGGCCCGATGGGGAATTTCACTCCCACGAATCCACTCCTCCCGCGCAGGGGCCCGGCCTGGCAGGGCCAGGGAGCACCTGTCCGTGACAGACTGGTCTGCAGAAAACACGTCAGGAGTCAGTTCACCCCCGTTAGGTTAGCGAGTGGGGGAGGCCTGCCAACTACAACGTGTCCGGATCAGATTTATATTTAAAACATACTTTCCCGGTCAACGTGGCCTCTTAACCCTTCGAAAAACATTTCCCTGAGCTCACTCCAAGGGTGACTCTGTGGTTTGAAGTTATTGTGCTCAGGCATCAGCTGGTCCTGAATCTGCAGGGAGTGGGGGTGGGGTAGGGTGGGGATGTGGGAGGGGAGAGAGCAGAATCAGGGAGTCAACCAAATAGCTCTCCCTCTAAACCAGCCAAGCTTCCTCGAGCGGAACTGCATCGCTAGGTTTCCTGGCCCGTTACATTTCTAAAAGCTTGTGCCCATTATTTCTAACAACGGGTAAGAGCAGGTTGTGCAAGCTGTAAAGACACCCCCAAATACAGGTTCTCCAGCCTCCCCGTCCTCTTTCCAGGTGGGTAAGTGATGATTCTGGCTTGGCCTTGGTTTCCCCACCTGAACAGGGGGATGGGTGGTCTCTGCCTGGCAGCCCTGATGTGATACATGCACTGAGCCCCGTGTCTGTCCGTCTGTCCACAGAGCTGCTTGCCCTAAGACAGTGGCTGTCAGTCCAGCCCCAGCTGGCCATCTGGAGAGGTTCTTGGTCTCCACAGAAGTGGTTAATTTCCTAAGAGGACAAGGCTTCCCTTTCGTATGAACCTTTATCACTTTGCTGCCGGGAAGTGGTGCTGCCAGGCGGACAGTGTGACTTCCTGTGCGGTGGCAGGCTGGTCTTGGGTGGAGCTGTGTGGCCGGTGAACAGCTCAGGAACACCAAGTAATGAATCGAGAGAGAGAGAGAGAGAGAGAGAGAGAGAGAGAGAGAGAGAGAGAGAGAGAGAGAGAGATTGAAAGAGGCAGGCCCCATCTCCCAGGAGTGCGTTTTGAATCTGGCCACTGTCTATAATGGTGACTCCTCGGGTCTCGGCCGGAGGAGAGACTTCCTGGAGCAGCAGGGTCGGCAGCGGAGGGAGAAGACAGGTCTTGGGGAGCCAAGCAGTTCACCGCCAAGTGGTGCCTCGGGAGCCCCGTGTCCTGGCAACCTGCTTTCTGCCCACTTTGCCAGCACATGCCAGGGACTCCGGCACTCCGAGTGGGATGGCATAGTTCCTGAGCTTCCTAGATGGACGGCTGTCTTTTTGGACAGTTGAGATTTGGGAAAAGAAGATAAAAATGAAGTTATTTCCTGCCTTGCTTACTGCTTTGTTACCGGCACAAGGCAGAGGCTCAGTATTTGTCGACCGAACAAATTTGCCTATTTGCCGATAGCTCTGAGCAGCCACCATTCATTTTGTGCTTCACATGTGTCAGGTGTTTTGCACACATCATCCCTACTTTTCACAAAGATCCCAGGGATGTGATATCTATTTTCTGATGAGGAAACAAAGGCTCAGAGAGGGTGAGCAACCTACCTGAGCTCTCACAGCCGTCTCCAGTGTCTCAAAAGTTTCTAGGGAACTAGTGGCATCTCACCTCATGGAGGTTGGGTTCCAAAGCAACTTATTTTGAGTGCAAATAAAAGGAACAAAGGGGTGTTAAAAGAGTGCAATGTGCTCTAGCTGGTTTAGCTCAGTGGGTAGAGCTTCAGCCTGAAGGGTCCCAGGTTCGATTCCTGTCAAGGGCACGTGCCAGGTTTTGGGCTTGATCCCCAGTTGGGGCATACAGGGGACAGCCAGTCAATAATTCTCTCTCATCATTGATGTTTCTATCTCTCTCTTACTTCCTCTCTGAAATAAATAAAAATATATTTTAAAAATAATGAAATGCTATTTTTCTTTGAGAAAACTTGGTTGAGTTTCTTTAAAATACACACACACACACACACACACACACACACTCTGAGTGGCCAGATTATTATGATCACTGAATGCATAATAATCTGGCCACACAGTGTGAATATATATATTAGAGGCCCAGTGCATGAATTTGCATATGGGTGGGGTCCAGCCAGCCTGGCCAGGGGGAGGGGACATGGGCTGGTCGAGGGGACATTAGACTTTTATTTGCACATTAGCCTTTTATTACATAGGATATACCCTGAGTGGCCAGATTATTATGTGTTCAGAGATCATAATAATCTGGCCACTCGGTGTATATGCACATTATAAACACATTATAGCAGCATTATACAATGGTTGGAAGGAAAACTGGAGTAAACATTGATAATCCCAGCTACCTGATATTTTTACTTTTCTGTATTTGCATTATGGTTCTTTCCTGCATTTTTAATATTCCCTAATGTGCAGCAAGAAGGATATTAAAGTGCCACTGTCTTTTGCAGCCATTAGTGCTTTGCGCTCTTCCCTTCAGCCCAGCAGGGACTGAGTTGCTGACTGAGTTGGCCTGCAGCTCAAGTTGTGGCCAACCTGCTCTTAAGCTGTGGCTCCTGGCCCCCTGTCCGACCCATCTCCTACCTCCTTCCCTTCCTCTCACCTGCTCTGCTCCAGGTGTGCTGGCTTCTGTGCTGTTCCTGAAACACACTGAGCAATCTCTAGACTTGAGATCTTTGCTCATGCTTTTTCCTCTGCCTGTGACACTGTTCCTTCTGATATCTCTCTTGCTTGCTCCCTCACTCCCCACCCCCCCCAAGTCAGATCCCTGCTGAGATGTTAGCCCCTCAGAGAGGCTTTTCCAGACCACTCCTATAAAACCGAATCCTTTCCCGCCAACCCCTTCCTCTTGTCTTCCTGGTACTTATTATCAGCTGACACACTGCATGTGTGTGTTTTTCTTTATTGGAATGTCTGCTTTCCCAAAGGAGGACTTTATCTGTTTTGTTCAACAGAACTGCCCAAGGCACATAGTAGGGTTCAATATAAATCATTGATGAATGAGTGAGTGAATTCCACAGCCTGGGCCTCCCAGCTGGCAGGAAGTGGGCGGCTGTTTAAGGAATTGAGATGGAGAGAGCCGCACCAGTCCCATAGCAACAAGACTCAGGCGGTTTCTACCAGCCTGTGTGCCTGGAGCTGCCCACCTGGCCCTGCCCTGCCCAGGCTGGCTGAGGAGCCAGGCCCCCTGGCAGCCATCGGTGGGCGGAGTTTGGGGGAAGAAGGCGCTCCGAGGAGGAGCCGGAGCCTGCACAGGCTGCTGAGGTTCTATGAAGAATGTCCCAGGTGAGCCCAGACTCTCCTTACGTCAGATCTAAGGGAGAAAAGCAAATGAGCCTCCTTCCATTTCCCCAGCCCTGTTCATTTTGTAAAACAAATGGAAGGCTTTGACGGGTCTCCATTTTGCCCATAAAATACAGAGAGCAAAGTCTTGTACACGGACTGTCTTGCTAGAAGACAATCACTGAGGACTTCAAAGAAAACCATCAGTGATGCGCCGTCATCCTCATCCTTTCCCCGGTCCCTCTCCGGGATTAGATCATTTCCCCCGATGCCAACTGCCTCTCGCCGGGCGATTTTGAATTCCTTTCTTCCCGGACCTCAGAGTGGCTGCAGATACAGTAATTCATTAGTCCTGTCCTCGCATGGGGGTGGAATAAAGGTCTGATTACCACGCGCTGTCGACTGAGAAACAGGCAGGAACCAAGAAGAATCATAAACGTAGGAGAAAAGGGGGGCTCAGAGACCAGGGGTTCCACTGCCGGTGGACCAGTCACTGGGGAAGGCTGTGGTCGTTGTGTTGGTGTGTGTGTTGGGGGGCACGTTGGATGAGGGGGGAGGATTTGCTTTTTCATGCGTGTCTCCTTGAGACATTGCACTCTGCAGACGGGAACTCCAGCAATGACCACAAGGGCAGCCAGGGAGCCAGTCCTTCCTCACGGCCCCTGGGGGGCGGGCCTGGAAGCCCCCCATGTCCTGCTGATCAGATCCTGACCCTCCTGTGCCCTCTGCTTTCACACAGATTCGTGACCCCCCGAGTGTCTGAGCCAGATCTCCAGGTGCGGACGTTTACTCTCCCTGACCACTGTGGTCAGA